CCCTGTACAGTTGTGGGGGTTTTTTATTACAATTGTGTCCACGGCCTTCAGAATGCGACTAGGGCCTTGATGTGCCCACGGAGACTAGGATGTGAATTTTGGAGAAATTGGCTAGATAAAGGTCAATAAGTAGCAACAGAAGAACAAGCCAAAAGAAAGATTACAGGAAAATGACAAAATAATGTTTAGTTAGGGTAGCTAATGTGTGATGATTATATGATATCTTGCCGCTAGAAACACTTATAACTGTCTCTAAAGTTGGAGTCACCCTGAATTATGTGGACTCTTAAGAATATCTACTTTTAATGTCACATTGATGAAGATAACTTTTGCTGCTTAAAACATTTTGCATATTCTGATTCCAAGTTATAAATCCCATTGGATAATAATCCTGTATAGTATTTTCTGGTCACTTCATTGTTCTCTCTTGCTGTAACGGGTGTGTGGAAAAAAAGACAGTGTTTACCATGCTCATTTAGGTGTTCTGTTTAAAAATATATAGAGCTTTTCAAATCCTCACAGCTGTCTGGCTTTTTTTTTTTTTTTTTTTTTGTCGTCCAAAAGCAATTATTTGGATCCTGGAATTAATCTCTGTGTTTCCTTATTTTCTTTTTCAAGTATGCGTATGCTTCATCATGTGCATATGTGTGTGTGCATAATAAGCTTCAGAGCATACTGTTGCTCTCTGATTTTCACGCTATATCCATCCTCCTGGGTAATTCCGTTTGAAGTATTAAAGAAGCCACCTGTAATTTTGTCAGTGACATTGCTAAATTTCAAGGCAACATTCAGAAATTTTTTGTTTGGACATAGCTTTCAAATGCACATGCTCCCGCTCACAAAAGTTTTGTGATTTACAGAGAAACACAACTGTGGTCAGCAAAACAACCGTGCTGCTGAAAACGCTGTTGGTTCTCTTGCAATAGCAATGCGAATGCAGGTTAGTGTAACTTCAAACATTGTAAATTTGTTGCTCTTTCTGTCAGTTGTAGAAATTGCTTCTACAGTTTAGTTTTTAATTTTTGGTTTGCTCCTTTGAACATCTTGCCTGGCTTCGAATTTAATAGGAACTGTTAATGAGGTGAGTCATGCCTGTTACATTTCGTTAGAGGAAGGTAAATTAAAAATCAAACATGTCATAATTCTGATGATTACAGTCAATCTTGGCAGAAGCACTTGTATCAATAGACTAATATTACTTATTCTGGTAAGGCAGTGAAGTTTAATTCTATCTGCACACATTTTTGTGGCGTGACGGATAGAGGATCCAAAAGTTTTTTGTTTTATGTGGAAGCAGCATGAGTCAGTCAGTGAACAATTAATACCTTCCATTATTTTTAGGGTGTGAAAGAAGAATAGTAATTCTCCCTCTTATGAGAATAAAATCTCCATGTTCCTAAGTAGAGACTTTTCTCTGCCGCTTATGTGTTAATGGTCTTGTTTCTTTTTGAAAAGTGGGCAAACAATAGGACGGTAATAGTGCAGTGTTTTTTCTTTCGTCCTAAAACCATGAAATGGAAAGATTTTTAAGTTTGTTTTTTTGTTAGCCTTTGCCATAGAAGTTATTTCATCATACTCTTGAGATCGTCTGAAATTAGTGTTCAGCATTTATGATGCAGCTGGTGTGTGCTGTTCTCTTGTTTAAAAACAGAACATGGTAAAAAACACGGAGCGATGGATCCAGTCCCAGCAGTACAGGAAGTGGGACCTCCACTGCTTGAAACTGCAGCCCCTCTCCCCAGTGCCCAGGTAATAATAACTTTCTTTAAATTAAAAAAAAAGAGTAGGCAAGTCTTAAATGTGACAATGAACCTAAAAATGGTCTGTGCCTAATTAATTTTTCATCTGCTTATGTGGACTAGATGTTGTGCTGGTTTATGTATGCCTCATTATGACCATGTCCTGCTGTTTCCTATCAATTTTTACTTTTATGGTGTGCATTGGAGCCAAGCTTTATTTAATGAAGACCTAAAGCTGGAAGGTTTCATTGAGGAAGGGAGGTGAAGCCTTGTGTAACATCAACAGAAATCCCAAATACAAGAAGTTCCTAATCACTAAACCCTAATGTAGGAAGATGTTTATGGATCTAGTTAAGGCCCAGTGGTTTCAATGGCATTTGATCTTGTATTTATTCTTCCCTCAGCAGAAGTACTTTCTTCTGCGTTAGTCTTTTAAATTCCTGCATAGATGTGAAAAGCAGGAAGTATATTTATTATCATAGCCACAATCTTTTCGGTTGGTTCCTGTTATTCACCTTCCAAGGCCCATGTCTGGGCCACAGGGATTTTAGGTGTGCCTTGGCATGGTCGCAGACATCCCTGACGTTTAGAGCAGCCTGAGCTCTTTGCTGGGTACCGGAGAGACGAACCAAGGACTCGGAGAGAGGTTCTGCCACGTAGGAAAACATTGACCTTTTTTCGTGCTTATTTGTATGCCTGCTTCTGGGCCATGCAGATGCTGAAGGGACCTCACCTATATAGGAAGAAAGGCAGAGCGAGCTGGGACTACTCAGCCTGGAGAAGAGAAGGCTCAGGAGGATCTTATCAATGTGTATAAATACCATGCATATAAATCAAGGGTACAAAGAGGATGGAGGCAGGCTCTTCTCAGTGGTGCCCATTGACAGGACCAGAGGCAATGGGCACAAACTGAAACACAGGAGGTTCCCTCTGAACATCAGGAAACGCTTTTTGACTCTGAGGGTGACAAAGCGCTGGCACAGGTTGCCCAGGGAGATTGTGGAGTCTCCGTCCTTAGAGATATTGAAAAGTCATCTGGACACAGTCCTGGGCAACCAACTGGCTCGAGGTGGCCCTGCTTGAGCAGGGGGATTGGACCAAATGAGGTCCAGAGGTCCCTTCCCACCTCAGCCACTCTGTGATTCTGTAACTCTGAATCCCACTGCTGTGTTTTTGGAGAGCCGTAACAAAATATTTTCTTTTCTAAGCATTTTGGTTCTGTTTTCACTGTCTTTTAAAACAGCTTAATGGGAATGGAAGCAATTGTAATTTAAAACAGAGATGCCAAAAGAATGAGTTTTCTATTGTACCCAGGGGCACAAGGGGGAAGAAGTGCTTGAGCTTTTCCTGGGCCAGCATGTAACATTTCTAGAATTAAAGCCTGAAAAATCTATCCTTAATTAATACAGTTAAAAGGTAGATGAAAGCATGGGATGTCATGAGTGTGGTGGTGAAAAAACTCTGAGAAAAAGTATTCCCAACCCTCTCTATGACATTGTGTGTTTAGTACATAAATATTTACATAATTAATATACAATGGCATGTAATATAACCAGTAATAGGACTTCCATTTATTTGATAACTTTATAGCTTTATGTCTTTTTTTTCTTTTAAATGTAAAATAACTCGTCAGATGGAAAGTATCCTGTAATAAAATGTAATGTTACAGTAATACACCACGTTATGTGGAAACAGATGGAGTTTTCATTGAAAATGAGGCAAAGCTGCTTAAGCACTAAAACTAGAAACATCTGCTTTTTGATTTCTGTGAGATCTGGGTGTTAATTGAAGTATTTCCAAAGATACTGGAAACGGAACGGAAGATTTTCTTACAAATATGCAGTAAAAAAAAAAAAATAAATTCCAGCACACAGGCTGAGTTAGATGTAGAGCCTTCCCCCATCTTTTAAATTTTCCTGTATTTTGTAAATTATTGCTTACCATTGTCAGTGGTGGACTTCTTGCTTAATTCTCATGCATGCAGAAACAACCACTGTTGCACATTTCCAGCAGTATTGAATAACATAACTTACTGAATAATTCTGGTATTTCCAATGTAGAGAATATATTGTCAAACTGAAAGAGCTAGCTACAAATGTAGACTTCTAAATGCTAGTTATAATCATGTCTGTAATTTCCTGTGTTTAGAAAATACTTTTACCGGAAATAATAGACTACACATAAACATTTTATGTGTGTTGTTTAGCTCCAGGAGTAGTTAAGGTATAAATGTCAATTCATTGTGAAATTTTGCCTTTTCTCACTTTATTGCATGTATCAGTGTGCAATCTGTCACTAAAGGGTTTCTAAGATGTTAAGAGTCTAGTTGCCTTGAAGGTTCTTGAGGGAATTTCAGATGGGAAAATGACAACAGCAATGGTTTTACTAATGGAGAGCCGTTAGCATCCGCTAACGTCAGTTTTACTTGACTTCTAAAAATATTTGTAATTTTATTTGTCTAGAAATTCTTTACCTTTTAATTTATTTATAAGTCTACGGCTTGTTTAGGGGTGTTTCTTCCCCTTTTTGCCAGTAGTGGGACATGCAGGGGTAGCCTCATTGTTTCTTCTTGAACTCTGAGCGGAGGCATCTGTGGGCCAAGAGACCAGGGACACAGGAGAGGCTGAGATTGCTGCAGGGAGTCTTGGTGGTCTGCCCTGAGATTAGAAATGATGGCTTCTGTCTTTTAGTAAAGACACTGATACATTTAGTAGGAGAGAAAAAAAAAAAAGGCTTATTAACTTTCTGTCATATTAGTCTACATCCTTCTCCCCTTGCCAAATACATCAATTACCTTAATAGAATAGTCACCCTACGAATTTTCCTTCCTTACAACTTTAAGGCATCACACTGCCATCAACTTAACAGTATTTTTCTGGGACTCAAGTTGTTTTTATATAGAGAGTTCTGAATGAAAACTTTAAATATTCTTTGTTGTGCGGTGTTTGTAAGCCACTCCATCTTGTGTTGTCGATACATTTTTACGGCTAGTTGTGTTTGAAGTAATGCGTAAGAAAGCCAAAGATACATCCTTCTATGCAAGAGGATGCTATTAGTACATCTTTGAAAGAAAGCAGATTCCAGACTAGTATATGCAGTGGTCTGCAACCCAACCGTTGGGTGCTGAGACTGAGTAGCTGCTTGTCCTGTAGTACTGGATTATGTCATTGTTTGGGTGGACGATTTCTAGGTTTCGCTTAGCTGCTGCAGGGTGCAAAAGTGGGATACATGAGAATTAGAATTGAGTAATGGTCCCGGTTTAGGATATCCTCAAAGAAATTGCAAGCAAATAAGTTGGCACAAACTGATCGTTTGCTGGTGGATGCAGAACAGCCGAAGTCCACACGTAGAGTTGAGATCTGGCAGTAGTTCTGTGTTCATCTGTGGATATTTGAGGTTTGCAGACTATTTGAAAGTTCAGGACGTTAGCTTTGATGCCATTGCCAGATTCTATCTTAAAAATATTGTAACCAACTGAAACAGCAGGAAGGAATTTAGCCTGGTTAGGCTGAAAGTAATTAATCTCTTGATAATTTTTTCACTTGCTTTTGCCATGATGTGAGCATTTCAAAGCCAATGGAGACAACTCCTCACATCTTGTGCGCTGGGCCCTGGACTTCAGTGCCGCGGGAGCTTACAGCTGCTGAACGCTTACGTGGACATAAGGGGCAACGAGGTCAAGCTCACAGAAGAAAAACGCGTGAAGGAGTACTAAATCCAAAGACCCCAGGTGGTGTAGGTCAGGAGTTGCAGGTACAATAGTGTTCCCCAGCCTACAGCCACCTCCCCTCGGGCAATCCACCACGTGTGCTTGCTGCACACTTGTCCGCTTGCCTCAACTGCCCCTCGCAGTCCTTGCTGGAAAGAGTTGGTAGGCTCACTGGACCTCCGAGCCCTGTGCGGTGAACTCCTGCCATGTGGCCATTTTCAATGTAGCTGTGTTTTAGAAGTGCATGCGCTGATCTTCAAATGCCTGGTGGTCCCTTGGTGCCCTGACGGGGAGGAGGGAGGCCTGCCTCGCCTAGCAGTACCCTCTGGTGAAAGGCGCTGCGGGTCGTCGTGGTTTGACCCCAGCCGGCGGCTGAGCGCCACACGGCCGCAGGTTTAGCTAATGTATTTGTGTGACTGTTGGCCAGGGAAGGTATGTGCTTTTTCAGTAGAGCGTGTGTGCTGAAATATACTGGGAGAGAGGAGAAGAGAAACAAAACCAGAAACATCCATTCCAGTGGGACATGCTTGAGCATCCAGCAGACGCGTCTTGATATGAAAGCATTACGTAATATCTGGAATCCGATTAAACAAGAGACTTCAGTGGAATTGTAACAATTAACAAACACTGCATGTGATTTTCAGTGTTATATTAGGTGTTAGCTAATATTTAGGTATGGTTAATAAAATGTGAGAGAGGATTGGAAAACTGATTACAATAACCCCATTGTTGGAGTATTTGCTGTTGTTTTGTGCTCTGTTGTCGACCACCTAAGCTGAGAGAAATCTCCTGGCTCCTATTTGTTTTCTTTTCCAGTGATATTGAGATTTCCCGAGCACAGAGTCCAAAAGCTGTTGATGTACTTGCCAAGGAGATAGGATTGCTTACAGATGAAATCGAGATCTATGGCCAAACCAAAGCCAAAGTACGTTTGTCCCTGCTGGAAAGGTTAAAGCATCAACCAGATGGAAAATATGTTCTAGTTGCTGGGTAAGAATGCACAGTAATGTCATTAATGTCTGCTCTTTCCACTCACATTAATATAAACATGCAGCTTACATCTTTTTAATACACTGCACAAATAAGAACCCTGAGTGTTTTTGGCTGTATGTTGCTCTCTTCTGAAAGTTTTTGAAATTTTTTGAAGTTACACAACTTTTCTTCCAAATTGTTATTACTGAAGTAAAGTAGATTTTATAAAAGGTAGTTTGTTCTAAACATCTTAAATGTTATCTGTTGGTGTGTGGAGTTTTTCTTACTGTTTTAGCAGAATTTCAAACGTTTAGCTTGAATATGTAAGTCTGCATGTATCGTGGCTGTTTATAAACAAACTTTAACAGAAGCTACATGCTAATCTGTTGATATTAACAATAAATACTTTTTTTATTGAAGAACAGATTACAAAGTTAAAGAAGCCATGTTTTTTTCTCTGAAATGTAGACATGTCTCCAGGCAGGCTTATCCTGCTTGCTGTTCCCACGATTATAGCAAATGCTGTGCTCAGCAGGCATTATGTGCTCCTCTTCTGAGGAGCTATGGGTTATTTCTACATTCGGTGGCACAACACTTTTTCATTCACGTGGTTTGCTAAGTGGAAACTTCTAATTGTGAACAAACGTGTAAAGGTTTTCATTAATATTTCAATTGCAATGTGTTCTTTATATTCTGATTTAATCGATACGGTTGCTTCCTTGTAAGTAAAATTGATCAGGTTTAAAGTACAGCTTTAGGCTGACCCAGAAGGAGAAGACTGTTCTTAACTGCCTTGATCTACTGATTCCTCAGCTGGGGTACTGTTCCACAAACTGTTTGCTTTACTACTTCCCTGTGGGGACAACCTGGATTTCTGGCACTATCTGAGATGGAGCCATTGTAGACCAAGAGACCTGATGTTACAAAGCTGAGGCAGGCAAGTTGTGAAGCTGTCTTCAAAGCTATGCAATAGAACTGCAATGTATAAAGATCTTCTTGGAGGATGCTGGAGCAGATGTTTAAGAGAAGGAAATAATAGCTGGTAGAGCTTGGTTTCCTTCGGTAGAGTTTTTTTTGTGTCTTCTGCTGCTTTGGAGAAAGAAAAGCAGGTTCAGCATTTCTCTGAGTTTGAAGAAAGTCACTACCATGAACTTTCAGGCTCGTGTTGTCAACTGTCTGGGTTGGGCGCCCTGCTGCAGGCTGTGCCAGGCTTCTCTAGCAGCAGAGTCTCACAAAAGCAGAGGGCATTTGAAAATGTCCAGAGGTGGATGATAGTGTGATGCAAAACCCCATTCGGGTAGATTTTAGTTGTGTCCGATTGTAGGCACCAGTGCTTATGTTTCTTCACACCGCTTGGTCTCCCAGTCTTCTTCAAGGAAGGTATCTCAAGCGATTGTCTGAACACTGTTTTGGTGGCACAGGCAGAAATGTGTATACACGTGGAAGAAATAGGGAAGTTTTGACTAGCAGGATGAAAAGCTGACAACAAATAGAAAGTTGTATCTTCTTATGTTTATATAACATGTATTAAGGCTGAACTGTGTTTCACAAACAAATCGCTGGGTTTGGTACCTACACAAGTGGATTTTGCTATTTGTAACTTCTCTGAAGTCGTTGCCTCTCGTGGGGTGAATACAAAGCCGCATCTGCTGCAGGAGGAGTGTCCGGGCGAGGTGGCTACGATGGTGGGAACATTCTCTTCTGAGAGAGTTCAAAGTTTGACTTTGAAATATTGTACATATAAAAAAAATATATGTATATAACACTTGTGTTTATGTGTTCTCAGCTGTTCTCATTTGCTGAAATGACTGTAGCAGACTGATTTTAAGAAAACTAGGGAACTGCGTCTGGTGAGGAAATGTTCAGTAAAATGGAAACTGATTATGACTCAAATGTGGAGATTGGGGAGCGAAATAATATCCTCAGTCGCTGTCTTCATCCTCTCCCTGCCAAGGCAAGGTCAACCAAAACCCGCCATTTGGATTATGATGTTTGTTCACAATAACCAAAGATACTTAGAAATTCTTTGAGGATGATGCAGTATAGGTCTTCAGAATAAGTTTTCACTGCGTCAAAGTAAACATTTAAGATATATGCTTACACCTCAGGGTATTTGGTCTAATGGAAATATTTATTATGTGTGATATGAACTTTTCATATGTGAAGGGAGTGAAAAGTGTGTGTGTGTGTATTCAACAAGCTGCAAATTCTCCAGCTTCCCTCCATGATGCAGCCAGTGACACTTCTGCCTGTAATTCCACAACTGGGTTTAAATATTTCATGATGTCAAGGAATTGAAATATTTGCTGCAAATGCTCTTCTAGTTTCTTTCTGATGTGCTAGAGCCCAAATTTGTTGTTCTGAATAGCAAAATGCAACCAAACGTACCTTTTTATCTCTAAGGATAGCTGTATTTATGACTTTTTAAAAAGTTGCTACTAACTGGAAAGTCTTTTTTTTCTACCTTCTGAAGGTACACAAATAGACCTAAATGTCTCATCCGATACATACTTTGTATGCTGAAAAATTACAGTTTGATTAACAGGTCGTGTCACCCAAGAATAGGATGAAGACTTAATTTCCATTTTTCATAACTTCCATTATCTTTTGTGCAGAGAGGATTCTTTTAACTTTTTTCCGTTCTCACTTTTTTTTTCCCCTTTGTGACTTGTCACAGGGCTCATGTTAAGACACCTTGGGATCAGAGCCATGAGTTGTCATGGAGTAATTAGCTCTTGGGCATCAACTGCCTGTATACAGGCTTTTATTGTGCTAAAAAAATGATGTTGCAAGATACGTTAACTCAAAACTGCCTCCCATTCATTGCAAGCTGAGAGCGCACAAATGAACGAAGCTTGTGAATGACCTAGTAGCTAAGTTTAGTACCCAGGGTGACTTAATCATGCATTCAAGCATGTACGTAGCCTGTTCATTAACACAATATGAAACTACATCTAAAAATTGTTAGAGTCTGTGGGTGTTTCTGCATTTTGTTTTTAAATGCTCCGGTGCTGTGACTTTTACCGGATAATTCTGGAAACTAGTTCACTTCAAAAATGCAAGTTGAGGAGTAACAGAATGTGGAAAAATTACGGAATATAATGCTGCTTTTAGTAAGAAGTGTGTTGGATTTTGAATGCTGGAAAATTTAAAATCAGTACTTTTCACCTAGCGTTAATAGATTGTTTTGTGATGAACTACCTTTTTGGTAAGAGAAGAATGGAGGGAAATAAGTACTAACTTAATGCTTGTACAAGTTGTGTGATGTTAAATATCTTAAGGACAGAATTTTCAGATTTGGAATTGCATTTTACTTCTAATGGGTATGTATTGGATTGTATTTCTGTTTGCTGTATTTCTTGGGCCACAAGGTGCTTAAAAAATAACAAAAATGGTAGACATTAAAAAAAAAAAATAGAGGGAAGAATAAGAAAGGAAAATAGCACTGTGTTGATGCATTGAAACGTCTGACAGTCCAAAGCGAAGTCATGGCTGAGACAGTTTGTCGTGTATTCGTCATGTCGTTGCACAGCTCCTGATTGGGATTGTCTTGGGTGGGACTTTGTCGGCTGTTGAGAGTTTGTTGTTGTGGATCCGCCAGTCTGTTCCTGGCTTTGTTCAGTTGTTTTAGCTTCCCAATGATCACTGTGTTTTCCTACCTGGAAGCTGCAGACCCATTTTGAGGATGCCACTGTAATGTCATCATCTCACCTCGATGAAGCAGCAGGAGTTGCAACACTTCTGTGCTTGGAAATACATTTCTGACAGTTGTAATCTTGGATGGGAGATGTACGTAGGTGAGGCTGTCGTTTATGGGAGCTCGATTGCCCATGCCCTCCGTAGCTAGGCTTTGCAGGTTTCCATGTGGGTCACAGGAATGGTGAACTCATTGAAAATCTTTCAAATTGCTGATACTGATGAGTTGAAGGTAGGAAATTTGAAAGAGGAGAGTTGTCACATATCCAGCAAAGTTCTTGCCGGAGTCACAGCAGCTGGGGTAGCTGTGAGGAGGTTACAGCTGGTGCAGTGTATCATCTCACTCTTTCTTTGTTTTCTCTTTGGGAGACCTCATGTAGCTTTCCCACAGAAACAGCTCCACTGTAAGCTAATGTGATGTATAACAAACAAGCAAAAAGTCTGCATATCCTTATCTTTGTTTTGATATACATAAAGAGAGAAAGCTTTCCAATGTTATGGAAAACTTGCTTTGCCAAGGAGCTGGTGGCTGCTTGGTAGGTGGCAAAGTAAGAAGTTTTAAGGAGGAAAATGATTGTGTTTAGATTGAAAACATATTAAAGAAACTTGAAGAATAATGCAAATGAGTGTAAAAGTCTCTTGAAGTTCATTAACATTTACTGTATTTAAAGATATATTTTTTTCCCTAGATTTGCATAAGGTCAAAACACAGCATTGCACAACTGAGCTAAAGTTAGCCATTGGCAGTTGTAACTTTATACTCATGCGAGCAAGTGACCTAAGTTGCAAGAGTGTAGGCTCAGTAGTGTAGCCAGCAAAAACATCTCAATGTCCACAAAACAGCTTAAGTGGATTATTTTATTTATAAAACTTGATCAAAGTAGGCCAGGTACAGAAGGGAAGATACTTAAAATAAGCTTTCTAAGGAAATTATTGGAATACAAATTTCTTTTAATTTCAGGCTTTTTTTTTTTTGTGGCTCCCCCCCCCCCCTTTTTTTTTTTTAACCTAGTATTTAAAACAGAGGTTCTGGTAACTACTGAAACTTAAATAACTATTTAGCTGTTTAGGTCTTAAGGTTTATCCTGTAATCTCTAAGCTGCTACTGAGCCTCTGACAATCAAAAGTGTTCTGCCAGGGCATCTCATGTAAGATGAGAAGTTGAGGATAGGTAAGTGAATTGTCCAGACCAATCTGGCTTCACTGACTAGTGTAATTTGCAGAGTCCTCACATTTTCTTAATTCTGTTAGATGGAAAGAGACTGAAAAGTCAGGTTTGGTTTTGGCTTCTCAGGGCTTTGTGCCTATTCCTACCTGCCGCAGCAGAAGAGGTTTCGTGGGAGAGTGTCACCCAAGTGCTGCAGGCCATTTATGGAAGTCTGGTTGCTGGTTTTCTTCCTCCATCACAGCTGCCATGAGACGTTTTGAGCCTTTAGATATTCACCTGAGTAACTCTCGTTCCAGGAAAACTAAGGATCACAGGGCTTCTCAGAAGGGAGAGAACAGATTAAAAGGAAGAAACCCATCTGAGGAACACATTGAAAGTGTAGGCTGTTAAAGCCAAGCAGATTTGATGAAGTCAAGGTCCTGTCTGCAAAGACGTGTCCGTTTACTGCTGCAAACCATTGTATGCTTGCATGAGTACACTGGTGAAAATAAGCTCGGTCTAGTTCATTTTTATCCCTGCTTTGGTGGAGGCTGGTTCTCCCAGAGTGCCGCGTTCTCCGTAGGGATGTGGCTGGTGCAGGGTATCAGTGTACTGGAAACTCATTAGAGACAAGGTCCGTTCCTCCTAGTTTGATCAATGAGCAATAGTGTGCCTCTCTTTTTGTTCTCTGGAAAAAGGTCTTTCTCGTGTAAAATGGGCCAGAAAGCACTGGGAATTTTCTGTTTTAGAATAGGCCAGCCGGGTTACCAGAGCGTTTTAGTAATGTGGCGCGTGACTGTATGTATCTTCTGCCACACGTAGGTACTATTCTTCATGCAGCTGCCAGCATGCCTTCCGGTAATGCATTTATCAATTCCAGTTTCCTTTCCTTTTTCTGAATAGTAGGCTGCATCTTTGATTTTGCTTCTTTCCTAGAGTTTGTAAAAACTCCCTGTGCTGCTGTGCGTGCCAGGTCAGCCTTCTGCCATGTTTGGAGCTGCACTTGAGTAGATAACCTAGTGATGGTGTCTCTGAATTCTCTCAGATGTGAACTTTGTGTGTCCGATGTTCAAAAATAGAAGTAACCACCAACCGGCAGCACTGCAAACATAAGTTGTTCTGTTAGCGGTGCAGCCGTTGTATGCACTGAGATTTTGGTGTTTCTGGGACGTCCTTTACTGGTAACTTCCAGTAAACAGTTACAGGTGTCTTTTTCGTACCAGAATAGTTTGCTTTTTGGTGTTCGTGTGTGTTTGTTTGTTTTGTTGTTCTTTTTAAAATAACTAATAGCTTAAAGAGTTGTTATGTTGTTAAGTCTTCGAATGAGCACAGTAATGCCTCAAGATTGCTCATATATTCCTTAAATCTGGCTTTAATGCAGAGGAACAAGAGGATCAAGTATATGAGATTAGGGCAATAGACAAAAGTGAATGAGACACTAGGAGAGCAAGGGGCAAGGAGAAACCATGCTAATAATGGTTTCAATGGGTTTTGGGCAACCAGTGTTAGAACAGCAGTCAGGAGGGTGAAATTGGTGGTCAAAGTGAGTTAACCTGGCTGTGGTGCGCTGACAGAAGCATCTTTGTACAAAAGTAAGGATCCTGGGACAAAAATGGAGGTGGCAGAAATAGAGGTGGGAAAAATAGAAGCTATCATGTAGCAACAGTAAAACAGGGAGGGCTCGCTGTCGTGGCAATGTAGAGATGAAAGAGCATCCGTTCTTCTAGGAGCTGCAAACACGAAAGTAAAAGAAATGAAGTAGCATTCTGTGCTCCTGCAGTAGATCAGAAGGAAATAAGAAGACATAGTGTGCATAAAAAGACAACAGGGACCAAAACCACTTTTGAGAGTAGACAAAATGGATCCTTCTCAGGATATGCTCTAAGTCTCCCACCTTTTGTTGGACTTACGTAGATATTTTACTGAAAGTCTATGAATTCCCTTTCTGAGTCAAGGGAGCGTGGTTCTAAGAAGGTGGGATGACAAAATAGTCTGGATAGTAAGTTATTGACGATGCTTTAGAATCTAATGGTGGGCAAATAAGATGTTATAATTGGGGGAAAAAAATGACTAAAACCAAATGCCCAAATGAAGTAACCCATGTAGTACACGGTCATATAAGAGTAGTTCAAAGCTACCAGTAGACGAAATATTATTTCTGAAGAGTTTCAGCTCAGGGAATCTCCTATAGATGTACTAAACCCCATTGATTTCGCTGGAACTTGAGTTAAAACATTACATTTCTGAATAGGAAAATTCTTTCCTAGAACAGTACTGAAGATGTTAATTTGGCTTGCTTCCTGTTGCCCAAATTTTTCCAGGTATACCTAACAAAGGCTTCTTTTTTTAACAAAAAAGCCCAGGATCTGATGATGATGTAAAAGATAGATTTGTGACAAGTTACTGTTTTTCAAGTGTTTACATTTTGTGGGACAAAGAAGGGCTTTTGTCAATCTGTGGACTAACTGAACTAAGCTGAATCTTACAATTTTACTAATGTTTTTATGCTATTTGAATTGTGATCTGAGGATAGCAGTATCTTGGAAAAATTACTAGTTGGACACGGAAGTGTTTCTAATTAGAGCTAGATGTTTTAGCTCAAGTTCTGAAGAGGTCATAGAATAAGGGCTCCTCTTTGACTAGGATGCGTGTGTATGCTTGTATTTCCTTGGGAGTGAACGTTAGTTCTTAACGTCACCTTCACTAAGGTACTGACTTCTCTACAGGTGGGGAAGGCAGCAAAGATATGAATGGTTGCACTTTGCTAAAAAGTAGGACTCGTGAGAGCGGTGTGAGTGGAAAAAGGACTGGGGCTTTCTTCTTTTTCCAGTCAGAGGGAGAAATGTTGTGCCTCGAATCATTTGAATGCATTTTGGAGACGTGAGATGTATTTATGCTTGAAGGAAGAAAAACAAAAGAAAAAGGAGAAAAACCCCAGCACACACACACCCCCCCTTTTAACGTGGATCACAAACAAATGTGCTGACCTTGAAAGCAGGGAGGACATCACTTATGCTGGGATGTCTCATTCACAGAAGGCTGATGAAGTTTTCTACTTGCAAAATCAGCTGTCATTGTCCCTTCATTAAAGGGACAAGAATAGAGTCTTTGAGTGGATGTTAGAGTCTCTGATTTGAGATTGGATGTCTTTCTAGAACTCTGTCCTGGTGCAATCGCGGTCTAGATGTGGGAGTTGTAGCGTGAGGTTTTTGAGCTTTTGTATGGGAGATTGGACTGTGATTGTAATTGTCCCTCATCACACTTAAATCTGCAAAAGTATCACAAAACCTAAGTGTAAAATAAATCACGTTCAGTTGAATATCGTGACTTTTGTGTCCTGTTTTGTGTAAAAAGCAGTTGATCTGCCATTGTTGAGGGTTATGATGACATGGAAGCTGGAGCGGGATAGTTGACCTCTACAACAAAAGCGTTGGTTATTTAATTTAAAATATTATATTATTTCATTCAGAGTTTGAGCAGTGGGAATAAAACAGCTCATACAGAAAAGTATTAGTGCATGCTTAGAGTATCTTGATGGATGGTTTGTTAATGAAACTGGTGAGACTTTTGTGCTGTAATAAGAATCTCTAAATTCAATATATTCTTCTTAGAACTTTTGCCAAAATAATCTTCTCTTTTTCTGCTATCATAATAAATTGCTTAAATAGAAGACACATGTATATTAGCATTCCAGCTTGAGCTAGGGGCTAGCGTTGTGGCAGTATTTTTGTGGAGATAAAGTAATCTTATTGAAATTTGCTGTACAAATATTCTTCATTGAAATCAAAAACTGTGAGTTCTGATATCCTTAGCCAGGCTGACATCAGCAAAGAATTTGATTAATCTCTTTTTCTTTTTTGCTAGAATAACCCCTACGCCCCTAGGAGAGGGGAAAAGCACAGTCACAATTGGTCTCGTTCAGGCGCTTACTGCACACCTTAACATTAATTCCTTTGCTTGTCTGAGACAACCTTCCCAAGGACCCACTTTTGGAGTTAAAGGTACATGATTCTATAATGTTTGCACACTCTGTGACCTCTTTCAGATTAAAAGGAAATACTGCTTTTTTTTCTTTCTTTTTTAATTCCTTAGTTACTTCTTCAGTTCAGTGGGTTGTCTGCATGGTAGCATACTGAGTTTTTTTTATAAGTATATAACAAATTGATATCTTCCCATGCAAAGCACATATCTATGTTCACATACTTAACATGTACTGGTAAGGCAGGTAAAGCCCACACCTAATGAAAGGCATGGGGATGTGTTAGCCAGGAGGAGTTTCGTGCGAGTACACACCCTTCCAGCCACTCCTCTGCTTGGAGACTCTCTAAAGATGTCTCTAAATGTTACTGTTGGATTATTCCTTGAGAAGGAGTCCTAAATCCACCCGTATTGATTGGAAATCGCCGAGCTAAGGAAGCTGGCAGTTGCGCGTATGGTTCAGCTGCGTCTGCATCGTACGCTTGGCCAGGTCTGAACCTTTTCTTTCTGTTATTCTGAGTTGTCGCCCCTAATTGTGGGCTGCTGCCTTTTTGCCTAGAAATCCTTTAAGAGCCTGAGGGCCAGGTAGGAGCCAGCCAGAGTTCAAGCCTGTCTTCAATGCTGATAGGAAGTAATGCAATCTTTCTTTTGCCATTTCTCAGCTGAGATTGGTGCCTAGCTGGGCAAGCACTCCCCATCTGCTCTACTTTGCTTTGCTGAAGTTTAAGTTAACAAGTTTGATTTCAGCTGGAAGGCTTCTGGTGCTTGGTGCTTCTCAGCCAAGACTGGTGCATGTGAGTGCTTTAATCTGTCCTCAACTTGTGTGTAGGCTACAGCGAACTTCTTTGCCTGTACCCTGAGAGGCGGTGGGGAAGGAGCGCTCAGGCAAGGGTGTGAAGGTTTCGTTGAGAAGCAGTGCTTGCTCGTGACTGCTGCGTCTTTCCACCCAACAGCTGCATGTGCATGACTATGTCCTAAACCTGGGCAGGAGCAGAGGGTAGCCCTTATGTAGCCAAAGTCTGAGCCAGCCGTCATCTGTAGGCTTTCATTTCAGATCAAGAATTTCCTTTTTTACTGCCTGCTGAGAAAAGCTAGCAAGGTTTAAGGAAATCCTGTTTATTGGGGTGCATCACTGATCCCCTAATAGAAACCAGAATGCTGAGAAGTGTGTTGTCAACACTGTACATTTCACTTCGTGTGTTAAAGGGTGGTGTTTATTTTTCCAAACCTGGTGGGAGTCTGATGTGACCATGTGCTTTCCTGTGCAGGTGGAGCAGCCGGTGGTGGATACGCTCAAGTGATTCCCATGGAGGAGGTGAGACAGCGGGGGAGACAGCAAGTCCCTGTCCCTCTGCAAGGGCTGGGCAGGCCGAGGTGGCTGCTGCAGCACTTGCTTGGTGGCGATGGTCTGCATGGAGATTTGAGGTGATCCTTGCCATCTCCACAGGGTCCTTGCCATCTCCACGTGCCTGCTGTGTGACATGCAGGGGCTGGGGAGTGGGTGTGCAAAACCATTGCACAGTTATTGTACATGTTTGTAACATCTCAGCTATCCTTCAGATGCTTCCTGAGAAGAAAGCGCACTATCCACACGTAACATACAAGACAAACAACTGGCTACTGCTAATTTCTTGTAGGCCCCTTTAGGTACTGGGAGGCTGCTCTGAGGTCTCCCTGGAGCCTTCTCTTCTCCAGGCTGAACAACCCCAACTCTCTCAGCCTGTCCTCACAGCAGAGGTGCTCCAGCCCTCCGATCATCTTAGTGGCCCCCTCTGGACTCGCTCCAACAGGTCCATGTCCTTCTTGTGCTGAGGACCCCCGAGCTGAAGGCAGTACTGCAGGGGGGGGGTCTCACCAGAGCGGAGCAGAGGGGCAGAATCCCCTCCCGTGACCTGCTGGTCACGCTGCTTGGGATGCAGCCCAGGACAGGGTTGGCCTTCTGGGCTGGGAGTGCACATGGCCGGGTCATGGTGAACTTCTTGTCAACCAACACCTAATAGTATTTCAGCCTGATAGTATTTACTCTACGCTGATAGGTGACTGAGAGCTGCAGCCTCAACAAGATAGCAATGATTGTTGCTGCTAATCTGTCTGAGATTAATAAACTGAGTTAAATAGTTTCTTATAGAAAGATTTTGTTGTTTTCACCTTCTAGTTCAATCTTCATTTGACTGGAGATATTCATGCTATAACTGCTGCAAATAATTTGCTGGCTGCTGCTATTGATGCTAGGATCTTGCATGAGAACACTCAGTCGGATAAGGTGAGAATTATTTTCTGATATCCACATGACATTTTTTCTTTTTAATTTTTCAGTAGGCTGCTTTTCAAAGCAAAATAAGTTTATTATCTTTTTATATTTTCACCGTGTGAACAGAAACTATTGCTGAAGCCATTCTGTGTTCTGCTGGGAAATTTTGCTTATAGAATATATTTTTCTGGCCAACAGCTATCATAAGGTAGTCTTTAAGATGAGGATCTCATGCTCAGAAGTCTTTCAGACTGTACTAAATAGTCTAATAAAAGATGTTTTCTCTAGATATAATCTTTTTCTTTTTAATAATTTGTATACTCCTTTTAAAGTTAAAAATTACACTTCTGATGTATAGTTGGGTATGATGTACCTTAAGAAGAAGGGGTCATGGGGAAAATAAACTAGATCCTCTTTCCTCCTGTTGTGACCTTAGCACAAATGCTAACTTGAGTCTTTAAAGGGAAGGGAGAAAGTAAAGGAAGGAGCCTTCTTTTTTTGGCTACAGTGATAAAACTGAGCAGGGTTGTCACATCCCCTTTACTTGGTACGACACAAATGTGCATTTAGGCCAGTTTGCAAATGATAGTTGTAGTTTGAATAATTTGGACCTTGGTTAAAGTTTTAAAGGGTTCCCAACTTCAAAAATAATACGTTTTTTTTTGGTGAAACATAGAAATTTTGGTACTTGGATTTAGACTGTTAAATCATAGGCATTGCTCAAAAGCCTACCATCTTCTCAGAATTGTTTTTTAAATTCCTAACCAGAAGCGCACAACTTATGTGGTTGGGAAATTCTTACTGAAATTAGTCTGAATAAAATAAAAACATTAGCTTTTTATTTAACTAGTTCCTGGTTGTAACCTTTTCTTTCATTAACTTTTCATGTGTTTTTTCTAGGCTTTGTATAATAGACTGGTTCCAGTAGTTAATGGCGTGAGAGGATTTTCTGCTATTCAGCTTGCTCGTCTGAGAGTAAGTTGCTAATGTAGTCTCTCCTCAATTATAGTATCTCTTCATAAAAACATACTGTCTTACGCAACTTGTTTTAAATTGTTTTATGTATGGGACTGAGTTTGTATAAACCTTCCTCGTGAATTTATCAAGTCCAGACTTTTTTTCTGAAAGCATTTTCCTTGAAGTAATAGGATCTGGGTCTGATATTATTTTCATAACTAACATTTTTGCTATTCTTTTCTCGTGAAATAAACCAATAATGTTTTTAAATGCTGTGTCTTTCCTGATGAAATATTAAAGTTAGATTTTACAAAATACTTTTCCTATTATGGTAAAGTCATGTTTGAAAGCTTACATTCTTTGGTTTTGCAATATTTTCTGGTTTTGAAAGTTTATTATAGCATATACTTCTGGGGTTTTATTGATGTCAATTTGACAGTGTTCTCCCTTCAAGGGGCAGAAGGACATTTGCGTGCATAGTATATTTTTGCATCCCATCTTGCTTTCTGAATGCTTCCAGAAGGGCTTCCTATGCAATTTATGTATGAATAACGTATCTGGATTTGTGGCTGCCGTTCTGATAAATACCTAGAGAGCAACACAGTCACCTAGCATACGGGACAGAGAATATGAACCCCTTGAATATGACCCTTAAGGACAGCTTCAGTCTTCTACATCCAGTTCCGTACTTGTTGTTGGCTTTAGAGTCCTGACCAGTGTTGTTTCAGAGTCACCGTATGGCAATGGATAGCTGCCAAGTGTGCACTTGGAATTGGGGGGTGGAAAGGAGGACAGAGGTAATACCTGCTTCTGTTTTAAGGGAAAGAAAAAAAAAAGTTCTCATAATACTTTAAGCTTTTGTGCTGCTCATTTGAATGCCAGTAAACTAAAATGTGGATGATGCCTGCTTGACTCTGGTAGAGTAGAGTTCACAGAATTTTCCATTAGAATTTTGGAGTATTTTCATTTTGTCCTTGTTTAAACTGTGTGTCGGGTAACAGGTAGGGAAGGATAGGGAGCGTTTTGGTTATTCATGACATACCAGCTCTCTCTGCATTTGAAATGGATTTCTCATTCTTCACATGAGCTGCAACTCAGTAAAAAAAGTTGGCCTTTAGAACGTTCAAATACATGCATCATAATTTCCAATATAACTGAATTACTTTGCTGTGAATTATTTTTATATAATGATTCCTTATACCTGAACAAAAAAATCAAATGTAAAAAAAAATCTTTATGGGATGAAGTTACTTTTTTTTTTAAAAGAGGATTATTAAGATTGAAACTCCTCCCTTACATGTGTGGTTTGGAGTTGTACTTACAGAAGGTCGCATGCAAATTTTCTTTTTCAAACCCCTTGTCTAACATCAGGAGCTACCTTTCTCATTCCCCTGCTCCTCAGCTGTTTTCTTTTTTTTCCCAGTAATTATTAGCCTAAGACCTCCTTACCTTACCTCCTCTATTTAACTGTTTCTGTTCCAGTCTATTCTTTGTCTCCTTTTCCACATCAGCTCTGTGTCGTACTTCCTCCCATCTGATCCAGATGAGTCAGCTTTTTTCTTGCTGCTTAGACCCAGGATGGATGTTGTTGAGACCCTGGGAGGGATAGGCTGCTTCCTTTGCAGTCCCAGTGCCCAGCTCTCCTTGCAGCAGTTGAAAGTTATGAAAATTTTGCTGTCAACCCTGTGTGGAGAAATGCTCTGGGCCAAATGCTGTGGAAAAATGTATCTGGGCAGATGCCTGATACACCAAGCAGGAGGGATGAGCACTGAACTCTGACTGCCATCCCTCAGTAGAGATGCTGATGGGATATTGCTCCTTTTTCAATCTGCGTGTTTTCATAGAATTTGTAAGAAACTGTCTCCTAACTATGTCAAATTGGATTAAAATTGGCCGACAGATTAGAAAAATAATAATAATACAGGACTGGCAGTTGAGGACCTAAGCCTTTCTTCATTAGAACTGGGGTGAAAAATCTTAGGGTACCAAGTGTCAAAAGCTGCAAGCTGTTCTCAACAGCGTTTTGCCCTTCTCAGAACAGTGGGAGATGCCCCAGTGCCTGCATCTGGATTTGAAAGCATCCCTCAGTCTGAGAGACCAATCCTCAAAAAGCAGCATCATGAAAACAGTTTTAGTACTCTCAAAAGGATGTTCCCAGCTTTCTAGAAATAACTGTCAGTTTAAATGGGAAGTATCTGTGGTAGCTCTTTGAAACTTGAGTATTTTTAGACTTTTCTATTTGCTTTATTTTTAGTCCGAAAGTGTAAACTTGTTGGCTAATTTACTGAGGAATGCTTTCTAATGCCAGAGAAAATAAAGATTTTTTTTTTATTATTTTTTTTTTAAGGCTACAGTTCTTAAACACAGTTTTCTGATCCATCTTTATGTAGATTTATCTAAGAAGAGGTTTGGTGTTGCTGAAATAGTGAGTCTGTAAAAGCCAGGAGGTATTGGCTCATTCATTGTAAGTGACTGTGTTTACAGATGATGGGCTTTTAAAGCAGAAGTTTTTATTTCATTCGAAGATGATTCACACAAGACAACGCATGGGTCTTTCAAGGATTTCCACAAACTAGAGCAAGCAATTAATTATCTTTTAATTAGTAACTGATAATGTTGAATTTGCTCTTTGATTTACATTGAGTTCCTTCTGTTTAAGAAAGAGATTGTTAATTTAATGACCTATGAACATTTCTCCTTCTCTGTTTCATTTCTCCACCTACATTTGCCCCTATTTTAGTTACAGGTATTTTCTTATGTGCCTTTTTTTTTTATTTTTAAATAGTTTTGGTCCTGACGTGCTTCTTTCCAAAATGCTTGCTGAAAGGAGGGGGTGATAAGCCAGAGCAGCTATACCTTTTGAAGCAAAAAAAACACTTCATTGTATTTCTTTCATTTGTTTTCGTGTAGAGGCTGGGAATAAACAAGACTGATCCTGGGACTTTAACAGAAGAGGAGATCAGCAAATTTGTGCGCCTTGATATTGACCCATCTACCATAACATGGCAAAGAGGTGTGTAGTCAGAAAACCTCACTTCAACTTGGATTTAGTTGTAACTTATTTCCTAATTTGCTTAATTTTACCTGAATCAGAGCTGTTTCTGCTCTCTGACTGTAAGAGCAACCCATTTGCAAGTGGGAAATGTGGGTGCATAACAAATTTGGGGGCAGTATGTTGCTCTAAACTTGGTCAAATATCTGTAGTAACTCAAGAGACTTTGCCAGTATTCTGAAAGATAGATTACTCTGACAGTTTAAATACATCCCTTGTCTCTCTCAGGTTGGATAATCTATCTTAAAACATATGAAAGTAGCTTTTCTGTGCATTTTACAAATCTTACCCATTCTTTTCCTAACTATGCCTATTACGGTTTTAGATTATTTGTGCTTACTCTACTTGATTTTGGTCCCTCATCCTCCGCAGCGCAGCAGCCTGGGTAGCTCAGAGACCAAATAAGGGTTACGTATTTTTCCTGTTTTTGAAGTGTCTCGAGTTGTTTGCTTTGTTAGGAAGAAGAGGTGAAAGATGTGGTACAGTTTCAACTATGTACGCCAAGCAAACCAGTATCTGCACTCACACCCTTGGACAACTCCCCTCTGCATTCTTCAGTTCTAGTGCTGCGTTAAATTTCAGTGTGTACCTCAAATTCTGTATATCCCTTTTTCTTTTTTAAGCAAGTAAACTCTGCATAAAGTTTTGAGCTAACTTCCATTGGATTTTATTTTCTTCCTAAGTTCTCAAACACCAAAGCTATTAGTTCAGAATCATTGTTAAATGGAAAGTATTGTGATGCTCAGAGAAATAAGGTGAATCTATTGAGAAGTGAGGAGTCTTGGCCATGTTTTACTGTGCCCTTTGTGTGCATCTCATCTCAGATTTGGGATATTTTTCTCAAGATAATACTGGAGGAGGTGGCACAAGAATTTTTTTATTAGTCACACTGTGTGTCTGGAAGAGACCTGTATTAGGATGAAGGCATAGTATAAATATTTAATGTAACATAACTCATCGTTTTTATCAGCGTGGGTTTGGGAGGAGGTAAAATTACTCAACAGCTGTTAACCTCAAGTGAGTGATTTAATCCATATCAAACAGTGTTAGTGAAATTTCTATTCCACACAACTCTATATGATGTACATATCTTAAACATTTCAGAAAAAAAAAATGTTTTTAGGAATGTTTTAGATAACTTGGAAAATGTTTTACTTTGGACTGTTTCTGCAATCCGTATGTCTGTGAAGCTTGCTACGTACCAGGGAATTTGTAGGACAGAAGCGAAAGCTATCAGATTGTCTGAAAATTAATTTTAGTTGGGACTTGTTTCCTTAGAAGTGTCACAAGCTTAAAGTTCACTGACATCTTATACCAACTTGAATGGGTACAACATACTGAAAAGAAGGAAAGCTTTCCCCTACTTACCCTTCCCCTGGTATTCAGATCCTGTTTATCTCTCTAGAGGATAAGGAAGTAGTTACATTAAACCTAACACTTGGTTGAACCTAAACTTTCCTGAAACGTTTACTTTGGGTAAGGAAGAGGGAAAACTTGGAGAAGGAGAAACTGCTTTTGTGGCAAAACCAATTATTTCTGATATTACTAAGTACAGCTATTGGAATCTTCCTGGAGAATGAATTCTGACTATGGCGAGAAAGCCAGTGTATCCCAGTGAGCAGAAAGAGTTGCAGAGGTAGTTACGGTTTCATAGTAAGGGTGTTCAGGTTACCTGATTTCACTAGGAAGGGCCAGATAAAAAGCAGCCCACTGCCTGCCCAGGCTGGTGGGAAGGCTAGTCCCTGCTCTCAGCAGTGCCTGGGTAGGCAGGAAAGAGATTTAGGTCTGCTTAAGGCTGCTCGTGAGACTGAGCTTCCTAGGAAGAGAAGAGGTAAGTTTGAGAGATCAGCTTGCCATATGGCTTCACGGTGGCATATGGTAGCACAGCTTGGGATGAGGCTACTGATTCCATGTGCCGGACTCCGTTCTGCAGTTTCTGCCAGTACTGTAGTATTTTAGAGTATGACTGTATACAAATAGAAGCAAAAATGAGTTAGCCAAGTCTGTGTTGCACCATCCCTTAAATGGAATTCCTGGAGAAATTAGGGGCCTAAATACCACGTAGTGGGAAGAAGGCCCACGTGGTATTTACAACAGCCCCATGAGAAACGCCCAAGAAGGGGAAGTGGCTTAAACCTTCCTTTTCTCCCAGCTCACTCACAACCCCAAACTGGGGTTGTGTAGGACTGAGATTCAAAGTCCCTCTTGTTCTTGGGTAATTATGTCGTCCTTTTCTGTACAAACAAATCCGTTAATCTCCAAAAGCAGCAGGAAAAGTGGGAGGAGGTGATTTAACTGACCTTCAGTACAGACAACTCCGCTCGAGGTTCCCTGATTCTCTGCTTCTAAATGAACGGGACTCAAATCTACATCTACCAGGAGATTGACCTGATTGCCAAGCTACAGGCTGAACTGATCAAGAGTACCTTCCACCCTTTCTTTTAGGGTTGGTGCAAGTTGAAACGTTTGTAGGGCTAAGGAGCCTGTAAGAAAGAGGGAGCCTGTTTTTGCCATTCCTGGGAAGTAGAAGTCTCGGAGTTCAGTCTCATTTTCTAACAAACAGAAACATCCCGGTCAGTTCTCAGCAGATGAGAGAGCTCTTCAATTATTCTTAGTCCTTCCTTTTGGTTCCTACAAAGGCACATTTGAAGTTGAGTGTTGTCAGTGTAGAACTGGAGAACTTGGCTTGCGATGACTGTTAGTGAAGTTAGCAATTCCACAGGATGGTTTGGACATGCCCTTGCAATGCTGAAAGTGTTTCCAGGTTAGAAATACAATTGTTTGAAATTGAAGTTGTGTTAAATAGCAGATGGTTCATCTTGGCAGTTGAAAAAAAACTTCCTTTGAATGCTCTGCAGCTGAATGTGGAGTTAGTTACTCTGATGTGCATGAGAGTGACTTGTCTGGAAGAACCAATCTGACAAGATAATCATCCTTTAAAAGAGAAACAGACCAAGTTTAGCCTACATCATGCAGTCTTCAAATCAATTCTTAACAAATCAATGACGATTTGAAGTAGGTCTGAGGTGCATTGTATCTACTAAGACAGATTTTTCTTATGTAGGTGACATATTGATTTGTATGTTAGAATATTAAGAATCTGTTAGCTTCAGCTAACGTTCAGAGAAATTGTATTTCAGTTATTTCAACCTGTTGTCTAATGGTATCAGCTAGAAGGGGGAAGCGGAGTCAGTGCTAATGCTAACGTGCAGGAGCATGGCTGACTGGTTACGCTGTTCAAGCAGCTGAATCTTACAGGTACACCTGGAAAAACTCAGATCCCTGAGTCCTTGTTAACATGTTTTGCTTTTGCTATTCCCTTATTTCAGTGGTGGACACAAATGACAGATTCCTGCGCAAAATAACAGTTGGGCAGGCAAATACAGAGAAAGGATTTGTCCGTCAGGTACGTAAAGGCAGTTAATATATCACATTCTGGACAGACTTTGCTTTAGAGGCTGAGAGATGTTTGTGCAGTTCTTTCAGTGTATTTCTTTGAATTGCAATGCGAACATCTGTTGCTGTTGTATAGTATCCTTGCAGTGAAACTGATTGTGTTAATGAGTAACTGAAGTTTCAGAAACAGAAACGAATGCAAATTGCACAATGTGTTGAAAGCACTTGAAAAAATTGCACGTTAGGGGTTCAACACTGTCGTCCTATGAGTATAAAAGGTGCACTTATGCCCTCATAAGATTAATTTGTATGATTTTTCATACCTTTTTAAGTCCCTCAAACTATTTATGTAATACTTGTGTAATTTAAATTGCATTTAAATTTAATGTTAAAAAATTGGGGGGAGAGGTGGGTCATGTGTTGTTGGTCCCATTGGTGAGGGCTGGAAATGACCTTTTTATTCGGAGTTTTCATTTCCCTATCATGCATCTCAGCTTTGGGATCTAAACCGTAAGAACTTTGAGCATGTGCTTAATTTTAATACGTGGGCTTGAAGGGATAGCTCAGAAAATGAGTATATGTGTACTTTTCAGCAGTGTGAAAACCTAACTCAAATTACTATATGAGAGCTTCTGGAAGTTTATTAAAGAACTTGCTGACAAACAGAAAGCCAGACTTTTCCAACACTATCTGAACAAGTGTTTTGGTGTCATGTGGGTAAATCCATTTCTGAAACAGTGCAGTGTGGAACAGTAATGCCAGGTGGAACAAACTGCTTGTCATGATGTGGAGTTGCTCCTAATTTCATGAAGATATTGTAATCTAACAGTCTGGATCGTGAAATTCATGAGGTTCTGACTATTTGGAGGTGAATAGCTATTGCGGTAGAGATAAGGCTTTTATTCATTTTGGAATTCTTGTCTTTAGCATTTCAGACCTCTTCTAGGCTTTGTGCCTAAATAAAGAGACTAAAAAATAGCGCTGATGTATTTGCTCAATTCAGCAGTTAAAACAGTCAAATTAGCGAAAAGAACTTAAAAGAGAAATCATAGAATCATAGAATGGTTTGGGTTGGAAGGAACCTTAAAGATCATCTAGTTCCAACCCCCTGCCACGGGCAGGGACACCTTCCACTAGAAACGCTCACTTGTTTTGGTTTTGAATACACAGGGTAGAGACTTTTCTGTCTATAATTTACAGAAAACTCAATATTAGCTAATACTTATCTCTGATAATGGGCTAGGACTACAAAATATTATAGTTGGTACAAGTTTCTTCAACACTTGAGATGTTTTCCTATGTTTAGATTTGTTTCAATGACTCAATGTGATTATTAACTTTGAGGTAGGTTCTGCTAGCCTTATTGTACAGCATTTTACTACTGTAATTACACTGCTGAGTTAAATGTGGGTTGTTTTATTATAAATTACTAGTTGAGATATGGCTGTCAAATACTGCTTCTGTACTCTTACAAGGCTAAAATTACCTTGATGATTTCAATTTTGATATGTTGGGCTGATGCATATCCATTAATATTTTAACGTGGACTTAGTGACTCAAGAGAAAGAGCTAACAGTTAGGAGAACTTGTTTCAGAGCCTAGCCGGAGATCCAGAGAAAGCAGGACTTCATAGTTAGCAGATGCATTTTATAAATATTTGGAGTGATGTCCTAGCAGTCTTAAAATCAATGACACCTGTGTAAAATGGCAGAGCACAGCAGGCACAAAAGTCTGCATTTTAATGAACAGGGATGCCGTGGTTTCTAAACAGTATTACATGACTGATGCCCTTGGTCCTGCAATTGAATCCATGTGGGTGGATCCTTGCATCAATACAGAGCTGACTGTACAGCCAAGGCTTCCGTCAGCACTTCATAGGTGCATCAAGGTTATCAGTCTTTTGTGCCTGTTTTTTCATTAAATATTGTGTCGCTCTTTGAGCATCTACCTGGGATTGTTTCTCCTGTCCTTTAGGGTTTGTATAGAAACAATGATAACAAAACCTTTTTTTTTTTTTTGGTCTCCTGATAAACATTCTGATAAAGTTAGATAACGTTCCAGTATACAGGTTGGGCATAGATTTCTCAGATTTATTTCCTGTCTTACATATGCTGCAGTGACTTACTGGGGACATTCTTAACTTCAGAAAAGACAGTCGCATCCATGTCATTGCAATGCTAACAATGTTTATTGTGTAGCCAGCTATTCTGTTACATATAGAACTGCTTCCAGGGAATACAGAAAATCTGCTTTGTAACTTCAGCATTTCATTGGAATCGCTATGCTGAAAATGCCAATTACAGGATTCTTTTCTGTTTTCTGTGGTATGTAACTCTCCCTGCCTGGGCCCAATGCAGAAAAGTGCTTGGGTATCTTCAGAAGTTTTGACTAAACACACAGGTACACAGAGGTCAGGCAGAATAGGGCTGCTCTGGGCTGTAGCTGTCAAGACAGAATCTAAAAGTGGGAACATAGGTTAAAAAAGGGCAGAAACTGTTAAAGTACTCTGCAAATGGATAGGGGTGGTAAGGTGTATGTTGAACGATTCTCTATATAAATGCTGCTTAAAAACAGGCAAAGCTCTCGATTTGAAGAAGTTCTTCTGGTATTGGTCAGTATGGGATACATCTGGTAGAGGTCTGAGATAGAAACAGTCCTGGGACTTTTTTTACATAGGTAGCAGTAGGATATCAAGTACTAGATTTTTCTATAGACTTTAATTGCCGGAGAAGGAAAGATTACTAAAGAAGCTGCAGTTCTTGTTCACCCCCAACATTACATTCCTACCACATAGTACGTTAGTCACTTTGCCTTTCTTCTCTCCTTATGTTCTGACTGAATGTGACCTGGGCTTTACTAATAGTAAATCAGCACAAGTACTGCTCGTCTTTACCGCAAGCTCTTAAAGAAAAGTAAGGACCACCGCTTGTGCTGAAATAGTGCACAGTATGAATGTATTTCTATAAGAGCAATAGAACTGTTGCCATATATAGTTCTTGGGGTTTTTTTTGACTTACATATTTGTTCATTTAAAAAAAAAAAAGAGAGGATGAAGATATATTTTACATTATCATAGATCAAGCACAAAAGCTAGCAGCATAGACTCTAAATTTTGAGTTTACGTAGGAAAAGAATGATCAAATGTAACAAGAATGTTTTTGAAACCAGAATAAAAAAACTTTTGGAGAACGTTACAGGGGGAATTAAAAAAAAAAAAACACCACACAACAAAACCACAATACTGTGCTCATGCCAGTACAGCTCAAAACACATCTGGTGATTTTTCTTTTTCGCCACAGAAAAAAATTCTTGGTCCTTCAGAGAGCTTCTGCTAAGGAAAATGTGAGCCAAGGGGCTTAAGCACTCTGCAAGACTGGTCCCCCAGTAAATGAAGTGTAACAGAGAACATTAATGAGGAAATATAAACAAAGTGTTTGAAGTTACTCTAGCCTGAGTAATTTCAAAAGCTGTAGGTTACAATTTAGAACTTGTTTGAATTTCAGTGTGAAATCTGTCTTTCCTGAGTCTATTTCTGATGATTTCCTATGTGTATTTGACCTGACTTTGATTTGATTCGATTCGTGATTCTCGTCTCTATTTTACAGGCTCAGTTTGATATTGCTGTGGCCAGTGAAATTATGGCCATCCTGGCACTTAGCACCAGCCTTCAAGATATGAAGGAGAGACTGGGGAAAATGGTGGTGGCTAATGACAAGAAAGGAAAACCCGTAACAGCAGAGGATTTGGTATGTACAGTGCTGTAGACCTGTGAATAACCTCTGATGCATCTGTTTTGCCTCTTGAAGCATTAAAAAGTCAGGTGCATGCCAAGGATTTTGCTTTGAACAGCACAGTCAGATATCGAAGAAAGATCTTCTGGGCCAAAATTTGCTCGCAATGAGAACAAGATGTAGAACGCATTTCTCCAACTCTCTGGTAGCATCTGGTTCAGGAAGTCTCTGATCTCCATAGCCTGCTTGGATAGTTTTCTGCTGTTCTTAAGGCAAACACATTTGGTGCTGGAGGAAGGCAGAGTGTGGGCTCCTATTTGAGAGAGCTGGTAATGTTTGCTACTGTACTGTAAAGTGTGCTTGGATGTTACAATGATAGTTATCATGTGAACACTTGTACCACTAAATCAGAATGGAAGCAAGTTATTCTTAATTCACAGGTTGCTGATAGTGCTTGGGACAAGGTTACCTCCTCACATCATTAAGGCTTTTTCTTCCTTGCCTTCATTAGTTAGTTGCTGTTTCCTCATTCCCTACTTCAGCTTCTGAAAGAAGTCAAGACATTCTTCTTTTGTATCGAATTCTGGCCGTTACAGCCAGGCTGTGAGTCAGTAGACAGTGATTGGAAGCTCATATGTGTTTGTGTTTGGCAGGTTCTGGTGCGGCCAGAAACTGCCAGTGAACCCTTGCAATCGGCTGTATGCCAGGAGTAGGCTCACTGTGATTGGCACTAGTTTACTGCAACATTACATTGCTTGAATTCTGAAACCTAATTGCCAAATTAAGTTCATATCTTGCAGATTGACAGCACATCCTAAATACAATAAATATAATAATGCTTTGCTTTTATGCTTTTTTTTATTGTCTAAATATGTCCTTATAGCAACTGTGATAGGTCTTGGAGCCACGCTTTCACGCCACCCTGATGGCAATGACTGCCTGTATCACACAGACTATGTGTGTTTTTTCCTGTTTGTCCCTTTTATGTGGACCTCTGCACAAACTTACTGCGTTTTTAGAGTGAGCAAAGGAACCAGTATCCTGCCTTGTCAGCAAAGATAGCAAACCCACAAGTCAGGAATACCTTCACAGCCTTAATGGATTCCAGTTTAATAAGGAAGTGAAAACGTAGTATCTAGCTTGCCTAGATTTAAGACTGAAATTAAGATAAGGATAGCAAAATTTCTAAGTACAGTCATCATTAAAATTCGAAGCAAATCAACTACTCCCAATTATGCAGGAGACAGGAGGAACTGCATTTAATATTCTAGCTGTTGAAGTTTTGATTTTCCTTTTCAACTGCATAACTTTATCTCGGCGAAATGGTGGGGAGTGGGGAGTGAGTTACATTATAATGCATATGCAAAAACTTTAAAATAATTCAATGTCAGAATTAAAACTACATTTGAAATACATTATTTTAATCTTGATGCTACTTTTGTATGAAGGTACTTTAATGTGTTAATATTGCAAAATATTTAACCTGTCTTCAACCACACAATGCTAATCAACTTGATGAACGGAAGCAGTTCCTTTTCTGTAGTCTGCTTCATCTATAGTTGCTCTGTGGAAATACAATGTTAGGGCTGAAATTATAAACAGCGCACAAAGAACTTTAAAATTTTTCCACTATGTCCCTAAAATGAAAGTAGTGCTCAGCAAAGTGTCTGTTACCAAGTTGGTTTTCTTTGGTCTTTTTTTAAACAAACTTCCTATGCTTAGTGTCTCAATCATTTGACAGTGTCACTTGCACTGAACATATGTTTCTAGTTCTTTAAAGCAGTGTTCTATATTATACAATAGAAGAGCTGCCCAGAAAAAAGAAAATTCATCACCGTGTCAAGGATATATATTATGACCATCTGCAGCTATGCTGCTGCATTCTTTTTCTTCTGTAGGTTCTCCATACCATGCACAGGGAGGACTTGAGTGCATGTCATGACTGCAAAGTGCAGAAACTCCTACCTCCTTTGTTGTGGAGTGTGTTACAAATGAGGATGAGAACTATGGGCAGAATAGGAAGGTGATTTCATGGTTAAGGCAGAAAAGTCCCTTTTTGGAGAGCTGAATTCTACTCCTGTGTTTTTCACAAAGCTGCTGTGTGATGCTGTGTCCATACAAACAGATTCTTACAGTACACAAGGAGTTATGCATTCCTCAATCTGGAGCTAAACAGTTGAGGTCTATGGAAGGAGTGAAACCCCATCAACAACTTTGAACCAGGAGAAATTATTTTATGTTGCCTCAGGTTGAGCATCCAAAATTGATGAATACTTTTGAGTTTGATCCTTGTGTGTGCTGATTTCTCTTCTGAAAACAGGAACAATTGTTCATTTCTGCAGAATTATTAATATGGTGAAGAATTCATGTACCGTGGTGTTGGGATTTAAGAAATGTCCACAGGTGGTCAGTCTGTTTGAACAGCTTGCAGCTAAACCCACTGTTTCTAGACTGTAAATGCAGTATCTACTCTTCCCCTGCTGCTTGTGCTGCCTGTGTTGTTACCATTCTTCTGCAAGCCCAGCTTTTGACTCCTGTTCATTTGGACTGTGCAGGTTGTATCTCATCCTTGTATGTGTTCAAAAAGAATTCCTATAGGTTCCAGGAGAAGAGATCTTTGCTTGTGGTCCGGGTGTCCAGACCCAGAGCTGGTCCAGCCTGGTGCGGGCTGTAGGTGCAGTTGTAACACCCTCGGCTGTAAGCATACCGCACATTGTGGCTAAAGCTTTCTGGGCAGGATGGGGCAAGGATAAGTGTTGACTAATGAGTGTCTGTGAACTGTAATTTTCGTTTTCCCAGAGTTTATATCTGGAGCAGATTTTCAGGTGTGGTGAGAGGTTTAATGTGAAACCATTCTCCTCTTGAATTTTCATCCTTCTTTCAAGTCAAGGTCAGAAAGGAGGTAAAGCTTTATAGCTCAGAAGGGAAAGATCTCAAGACAACTGAACGTAGGAAAAACAATATACAAGGTTTTTGAATGCGCTCTGTCCAAGAACAGTTCAATCATTTTGACTTAAATTTTCATAAAACAAAATCAAGTTTAAAATCTTGAACTGATCACAACCGCTTGACGTGGAACATTTTAGCCCAAAGAACTGCAATTGCATATAGTTTTAACAAATTTTAGGGGCAGCTTTATCATGGGAAGTACTGCACAACCTGAATAATGGATGGTGGTCAGTCCTACCTGTCACCAGGTAATTCTGGGGTTCATGTTTCATATAACCTACCCAGATTGAATTTATGGAAGTTTAGATGTTTGACGGTAGTCTTTAGTTCATTGGAATCTATGTGAACCACAACCACTAAACCCTTCTCTGTGATTTGTTTCCAGATGTACACACAATATACTTCACAAAAACACAATTGCTCTTAATTTTGACTTTATATGCAATGTCTTTATAATAATACAATAGTAAAACCTAAAATACACATTGGCAGATATAAACCAGATGCAGAGGCAGGCTAGGAGTAATAGAAAAAAGATAAATTGAATATTTCATGAATTGAGAAGACTCCTTCCACAAGAGTAATGGATTAAATATCTGTCCTTTGTAATGGAACATACAGAAGTCTTTGCCAAAATGTGGTGCTCATTGCACAGTATTTTGAAGACTTAATTGCTTTTTGGCTTTTACAGGGTAGTAGAATTCTGATGGACACATGCCGTATTTTTATGTGAAGCTAAATGGGTATGTATGCGCTGGATCAGTATTTCAGCAGCTATGAAAAATATTAAATAAATATGTCACTGTTTTTTTAAATAAGACTTCTCCACAGCTTCCTTTCAGTGCCATACTGTTAGATTTCAATAATTCCAGGACCAAAAAAAATAGCTTCATATTTACTTTTATAAATGATCTGCCAGCTGAATATATTTTGTTCTCTGGTTCATCAGAAACATTGTGTACATACTTCACTTTAAACAAAAGTAGTTGCAGTTCTTCTCAGCTTACGGATTAGAGTTTAGTTTTTTACAGAACTGGTATTGCAGAAAAATATTATGGTTTTGTTAGAGACTACAGTTTCAAATGAAGGGAACTTACGAGTACTTCATTGTTTTTCTTATAAAGAAAAGGATTTTTCTCTGCCTTTCAGTCTGTGTAACCCTTATTCATTTCACAGTAGTTACTTTCAATCACCTTCCTTGTCATCTAATGCTGGCTTTCATTTCCACTCTTGGTAGACCTCAGAGACTGCTCCACTGGAAGTTGCTTTGAAAGTGTTTTGGTTTTTCATCTAAGTTTGCCTTTCCTATGTCACATGTGTAATTTATTTCGTGCTCTATGATCTTTTCTGTCCTGGGGAGCATACCTGCCCCGATGGCTGGTGGGTAGATGGAAGGGGTATTATTTTCAGAAGTACTTGGGATCGGTTCCAGGAGGGAACCCAGGAGAGCTGGGTGTCTGTATACATTTGATTCAGAGTCCTACTTCTTTCTTCTGGCAGTGAGTTAGTGGAAAGCTGATGATCCTTGGGCTCTCACAGGCTTAATTGGTGTGTAAGTGTCTAAGCCTCTAATTCTTTTATAAAAAATTTATCTACCTTCTCTGAATTGCAAATGGGAACCTGATTCCTTAAATAGCTTTGAGAATCAGATCCAGGACTTTGAGTGAGCTGTGAGAATTGTTTACTAGCTGCTTGGAGGATTTGGGATATGAAGGAATGAAAACTTTATTCTGACAGAGTCATGTCAGATAGATATGAAAACTTTATTGTCTGTTTAGCTTTTAAGGACTGTTGTAGACACCAAACCTGTTGAAGAACCATGGAAGGCAAATAGACATGATGTGTGGTAACTGGAGTCTTTGCATCTTATTTTCTTTGCTTTCAGCTTCAGATAGAATGAGTAGTTGTGTCCAGAATGCATATCTAATACGGATGAAGTTTCCCGAAAGTTTAAAATGCATAGGAAGTATATGGGGGTTTTGCTTCACTATTTTTATCAGATTGGTAAAGAACTATCAGAAAGCAAAGGAGGCAGGATTTGAGCCTTTATTATCTTGGAGGGGCAAGGGGGGAAAAGTGTCTGGATTTTATCTTTTACTTTTCCCCCAAAGCCTTCTTTCCAGTCAACATGGCTTGGGTCAGGAAATAGCTGTTTGCATGCTTACTGTGAGCGAGCTGGTGGACTTGTCCAGCATGAAGTGGAGAACAGAAGCCCCTAATCGGATGGCTGCAGCTGGCGTGAGTGAACACTTGACAGTCCTTAGAGTTTTCCCAAGAAAAGCGTTGGGGCCAATCCGTGGCTGCTCAGGTAGTTAACCTTGCCGTTGACCAGTTGGAAAATCTGATGGAAAGTTTCCCATTCGACTTTTTTTCTCCAGAGGGTTGAATAGATATTACAGTTGCTGTTTATGTGGTAAGATTGTAAACCATCTCAGTGTTCATGCACTGAAAATTATCAGCAGCTGTTTCTCTTTTAGCATCATGATAAATAGCTTATGCTATATGATGACAGAAAAAACTGATACACGGAGAGAAAATGTGACATTAACTAACCTTTTCCTTCAGCTATTTCTGTTACCTGTGTGTACATGGTGCTGCTTTCCGTGAGACTTCACTAGCTGTTCTAGTTTTGTGTTGCCAGCAGGTAGTGGTAAGCATCATTTCCTTCAGCTGGGGGAGCAAGGGGGAAGAACGGCGCTTCTAGTCTGAGAAATTCTGTCTCAACTGGCTACTGAATTGATCACACCATAGGAAAACAACAGGCTTATAGATCTATTCAATAAGGATATTACGCACTGTAATTTTTTTAATGAATTAAGATTCTGCACTGTGATCAACAGGAAAAAGAACACATTTGTTTTGATAAATTAGTAGGATTAAAAACTGGCTTTTAATGGAGAAATTGCTAGTACTGAAATTTTTTCCATTTCATTTTAAATTGTTAGAGCTGGGATTACTGTATTTACTATTTTTTTTTGTAAGTGCTTCAGATTTGGAAGTGAATCAAATCTGTTTTATAAAACAAATTGTTGTATTGAACAGATTTAAAATGTAATATCCTAAGAAATATGCCCACTTTAGAAAGACTTTTACAAATTACTAAAATACAAGAAATCAAAGGCAATAGCAGTGGCAGTTATTTTCACATGATCCTAAAAGGAAAATTCATTCATGGATAAAATATTGAAGTTACATTTTATTTTAGCAGCAGAAAATTTTATGGGATACTGGTTAAATCATAGAATCATAGAATCATTATGGTCGGAAGAGACCTCAGAGATCATCAAGTCCAACCGTATACCTGATGCCACCATGCCCAGTAAACAATGTCTTGAAGGGCCACATCTAAACGTTTTTTGAACACCTCCAGGGATGGTGACTCCACCACCTCCCTGGATTGAACCATTATGAAACACTGTTGAGATTTGTTCTGCATTTTTAAGTTCTTTATCTAAAATGAATAGTTTATATTCTTACCAATTAAAACAATCTGTAGCTGTGAAGGAGCCTGTGGGAGTGAAAAGTAACAATAATTTCATTTCTCTTTTTAACATATTTTTCCTTTTCCTTGTGTTTAGGCTGTCAGCTTTGGATTCCAATGAGAGTAGTTGGGTCTATGTACAGCATGGCACCAGGCTGCTTCTATGGGAGTGATGGAGCCTCACCCATGCGGACAGAGAGCTGCCGTGCTGGGGTTTCCTTGCCTTTTGATCCTGTCTTCTGAAACTAACATATTAAGAAACAGAAATCTAGTTTTTGCTAGTTCAGAAGAGGGAAAACTATATTGGTTTGCTACTAGTCTCTCATATTACTTCTTTGTGGGTCTATTGGGATCTGTAGATAGTGGGAGTTTACACAATGCTGATGACAAAGAAACATCTTTCCCTCCTCTCTCCTTCCCTTGACTCTCCTCCAAGGGAACACTCACTATGCTTTAGTAGAAACCAGTTTTACTGTTTTGGTTTCATTTAATTTTTATCCGAGGCCGAATGTTCTGCTTCATTTTCCTCTGAAGTCTATGTTCAGATGTGATGCTTAGAAGGGGAAAACTTGAGTTTGTATAAAATACCATACTTATATAATCACTATGTACTTTTATGTCTCTTATGTCATTAGAATTTTCACACAGAGTTTTATTGTTCAAATTTTGAGTTAGTTGGCAGAAGCTGCATTGAGAATTATACAGGCGCTATTTTCATTGCTGCTCTTTATTTGAACATTATTGTTCAGCTCTTAATAGGCTACTCAGATAATGTATCCATGTTTTTCAACCTCCATTTTAAACAGCGTACAGCAGCTAGTATTTTTATTTGGTTTTAATGTTTCTTTTCAATACAATCATGTATTAAATTAATTTTTTGTGCTCTCTGGCAAGCCTATGAGCTACTCCTTATAACACTACTGCATTTTTTTCTATCCATGATCTAGTTCTTTCAAAACAAAACACATCTTTTCAAGATCTTAGTAATTTAGGAATAAATTGGAATATATGCTTGTGGTTTCTAGATAGCACTCTGCACATCACTATCAGACTATATGCACACTCTGTAAGCATTTTTTTTCTAAAATGGGCATTGACTTTTGGTATAGAGGGATGTCATGATGTTCTTTTATTTTAAATTCAATCAGTGTGGAATTTATACTTAATAGCCAGAAAATTTTTTAGGGAGGAGTATGATTTTTTTTTTTTTACAACTGAAATGCAGCAATTCGCTCAGCTCCTTTTGTCCTCTCATCATCACAGCAAGGCACCTCTAACTTTTAATCTCATGATGTGCTCATTATCTACCCCTAGTGAGCTCTGTGGCTGCTTTCATCCTGTGTCTATTAGGTATATATTTGTACAAGTCTCAAAAAATACCCTTTCTGGTTGTTGCTAGCTATTGATTTGTGCTATTGATTCTGTCATGAAAGAAATACATCTGTCATTTCTTTAGGCAGTTTTAGCAAGTTATTGCCTTCTTGCTTTCTCAGGCCCCAGTGGCCTTTGCTTCCGCTTCATCTTTTGTTCCCATGAACATCCCTATGCTGATCACTTAACTCTGTTTCTGGTCTCTCCATGAAATGAGAAGAATATTTACCTACTGTCTTTTAAGTGTAGTCAGAACAAAATAGTTACTATTTCTGGCACACTCTGTAAATACAGTATGTTAGAAGTCAGGGTAACATCTAAAGAAATTCTTTACGCAACATTGTAACGCTGCTTATCTTTTGTGGTTTGTGAGCACACTTTCTTTTTCTCCTTTGAGCTGTAAGTTTTTTTTCCCCTGTTTTAACTGTAGAGCTTAAGTGTGACTCAGAAATGCTGCACCTTAGAATTGACTTCCTTAAAATGTGGACTCTCTTGTTTTTTAGGGAGTAACAGGTGCTTTGGCAGTTTTGATGAAAGATGCGATTAAACCCACACTAATGCAGACATTAGAGGTGAGTATGGCTTATGACGCCTGCCCTTCTCTGGCTTTCAGATTCCGTATTGTGCTTGCATTGCTTCCCTCCAGTGACCGCACTTAACTTTCAAGCTAGGCTCAAATCCATAAAGGCATTTTAGGAAATGTTCATTTGTGTATGTTAACTAATCAACTCTACCTGCACTTACACGTTTTTGGTGGGTTTTTTCCTTTCTTTGAGACTCTGGCTTTAGTCATAATTTTTCCTGGTGTTGCAAACAAGCTGCAGTGTACTGTTGAACTGCTGCTGAGCACACTAGAAGGCGGGTCGGGCTCCTGAGTCATAGATGTCCTTCTGTTTCCCATCTTTCTTTCCTAGGGAAGTTTCTTTTTTATGTATTTCCTTTATATGGATGTTCCCATGATGATTCCCGTAGCCCAGCATTTTGAGTGGGAAGTAGATGCTTCACTGAGGCTGTTGTATTCTGTATTACAGTTTGCGCTGTTCATAAACACAGGAGGGTCCTTTTGCCTGTTTATGTGTTTTCAAAAGATGGCTCCCAGCCACCTGTCTTGCCATAGTGCCTTCAAGGACTATATGGAGCTTTGCTGGTCTGTGAGTGGAATGTTTTACACTTACCCCAGTGAGCTTTCTTCCAACAGCTCAAAGAACACAGCATTAGTACAACCTAACTCTGTGTCTGGGCAGTCTAGTATTGCCTTTTCAGTAGTGAGCTGAATGATGAGAAACATTCATGGGGCGAGGGAGGAAGAAAAATGGGGAAATAATGAAGCCGTTTTGAAAACAAATGCCTTTGGAGAAAAATTAATATATATTATTGAAAGTTTGACCATCAAAATTACATAGCTGGAATATTTCAGAACAATTCCTCATATGGTGAAAAGTTGAAGAATGTAGAAAGATACCAGTGCAATCCCCAGTTGGTAAAAATGTCTTATTTCTACAGCATGTCGAAGTGATGAATACCTTTTTGCTTTTGTGTTTGGATGGGGACAACTTCCTACTCTGAGGCAGTATTAGAAAAACAGAATTTAAGTCTATGTTATTTTACTGTAGCCATCTTAATTATTTTCTCCTGCAAAGAACATTCGTTCTTTCATGTGGCTATATGAAGAATATATGCGTGTGTCAGAATTTAGTATAACATCCAATAGCAGAAACTGGAGGTCATGTAGGATCAAGAATGTCACGGCCAGAACTGTGTCTTAAATCGCCACTTGGATATCTGGGTGTGTTAAGCATCAGTGACAAAGGTGGCTTTGATCGGGAGCGTTTAGTCTGCAGCACTCCGTTTGCACTTTGCATATCTGTTAGAAAATAATGCAGTTTTGTTGTAATGTTCTAAAAGACAATTATAAATGTCAGAAGAGTTTCTTCTGATCCATAGGCAATTGGTTCTGGGACTTGCATGCTTGTATTTTTTTACTGCATTTTTTTATATTCACATATCTATGCAATAAAATTCCTGCCTTTTATGTGGTATTCTTTTCTGGTCTAATCTATGCTATGGCTGAAACATCTGCCAGTTTTCATCAGACACTATTGCTTGTTAGGAGGACCCTGACCACAGTACCCAAGGATATTTCTCCCAAGAATTTTTCTTGCAAAGTTATTTTTAAAACAGCACACTAAAGGAGCTCGGAAGACTGCTTTGTGCTCCACTCCTGCCATTTGGGTCTCAGAGATGAACTTTTGTCACCCTTTGAATACCTGTTGGCTTGCAGGCTAGTGCGAGTCACCTATCCAAGAGTGGAAATTTCCAGCTTATCTAACTCTTTTCCAGGATAGTGCTGTGCTTTGGCTGATGTATGCCTCTTGGACTGTGCCATTGCTCTTCTGTAGAGATGCAATGGCCTGCTCTGTTACTGCCTGTGCTGTTGTTGCTGTTCTTGAGCCTCAAGCTTGTGTCGTCTCCCATTTTGTGAATAAATACCTTTCATATTTTTAATTATTAATGTGTATAGCTTTAAGAGATGTTAATTTTAATAGCTTCATTTTTTCCAAAAAAGAGAGGGAGAGGAAGAAAGAAGATATTTTGCCCTGCACACTTGAATATAGCGCAGTGATCCACTTGTAGTTTAGAGCCTTCCAGCACGATAGACGTTAAGCCAAGCTAATCCCAGTGTACCCTGAGCTGGTGGATGTAATAATGTCTTTTCTGCTATAGGGAACGACGTATTTCTGATGAGTGTATGAATTGCTTTCTTCTCACAAACCAGAAATTAGGACAACTGAAGCCTAAATTACACTTGAAATAATCCTAATAAGTAGCATCCAAAAGAAGAGGGACCTCTTAAATTTCCAAAGAGGCTACCAATAATAATTGGGCAACACAATCCTAATCCTTTCAGGGAGAACAAGTTCTCCATACAAGTGTAAAGACCTTTAGCAACAGCACAACGACAACAGTAATACCAGAAATGATCCTACAGCATGCAGGTGGTGGAAGAACAGAGTAATATGGTTATAGAGAACACAAATGCAGCTCAGACTGTGCTGTGGACCTGTCCTGCAAGTAGGGATGAAACTATTCACTAAAGCAGGTCTTCCAGATCACTTAGGTACTGGGGAATGGCGAAATGATGACTTCCAGCTGGTACCGACGGTTCGTTCAGCATACTTTGTAAGTGATAGCGTCTGTGGGTAGCAGGGGGTGAAAGCAGCCATTGCAGGGAGCGCTGCACTCCTCTGTGATCTGGCCGAGAGTCTGTAGGTGGGTATTGTGTTAAGCTGTGGAGGTCTGAGGAGTTGCTTCTAAGGGCTTGTGAAAGGGGAGAAAAACGACCTACTCGGTAGATTTGTACCAGCTTTATATGGGTGTCTGCGGGCACCAGAGAAGAGGTTTAGGAGTTCATAAATCAAAAATGACTGAATGCCAGTCCTGCTTGAAACGGAACTGGCAACTTGTGTCAGTGCTTTTTGTCATATGTGAATTGATGTGTGTGTTCTAATTTGCTGTTTTTTCAAAGAGGTTTCTTGCTGGGTTGATTTCCATCACAACCCTGCTACTCTGTCATGAGAAATGCCATCTCAAGGCGTTAGTGATGGACAGTGTTTCATATGCAGGAATGACAGTAAAATTGCAAAATGGGAAATGTGGGGCACTCCACCTATAATAACTGCAGGCTTCAGTAGAACTTATATCCAATGCTGTAGAATTGAGATTACTTTGTTTGAAATGTACAGAATGATTTCGTAGTGTTTATCCATGTTTGTCATGACAGATTTGCTCCCTCATGAACTGATCCCTTAATGTTCAGCATTTATTTATACCGTGCCTAACAGAGCAGCTGCTCTATGGGGCAACTCTCTGTCGTTGCAGGATGGCTGCTCTGGGATGGTCCGCTCGTGTTAGGTTTAAAGTGCCACTCACAGAAAAGCTGAGGGGAGGATGGTAAGAAGTGTTACAAACATCCTTCTAGTGACCAGATAACTTCAGATATTTATTGACATTCTGGGTTTATTTTCTTTTATTAAAACTTGGATAAAAAAGTTTCCTGTACTGAAAACAGTCAGCAGAATGCGTCCCTGTGCCGCTGTTTGTTTGTCCATATAGTTTACTAAGAGTGTGACAAAAATAAGTGGCACTCTGCAGAGTGGGACTGATGGGCTGACACAGAGTCCCTGAGGCTGGCCCGAGAAGACATTGTTGTCCCTGTTCCAGGGCGTGCCGGAGGCTCCTGAGACCCTGCTGGAGTTGGCTCCCTTTGGTACCTAGACTGTGTTTTCCTTCCAGGATTGCCCTTGTGAAAAAGAGCATTGAAATAACTCCTCCTTTTCTTCTGGTGGATTCCCCAGCTCCAGGGGAGCAGCTGTCCATGCCAGTGGTTTAGCAGCGTGTTTGAATTTCGAGTTAGTGGCAGGGGGCCTCTTGGCTACTGATATTCTGGATGTCGGACCCCACCATCCCAATTTCCTTCCCATCCACATTGTGCGGATGAGCCCTTGGAAGCACAGTTGCACAGGGAATGCCGTGGGAGACCCTTCGGGCCCCTCTCTGCATAGCTGCCACAGCGTGGGCTGGGCTGCCCCCTCCTCACCGGCTTTGTGCTTCCGTGCATCGCTTCTGCCCATGTGTGTGCTGGGCTCTAAGGAGAGCAGCCAAGTAGTTGTTTGCCACAAGAAATTAAGGGCTTAGAAGAGTAAAATTACACTTAGTGAGTAATAAAACACAAATCAGAATAAATCCTGTGGATTTCAATCTAGTAGCTGAAAACTGCAGTCTTTTATTTGAATGCCCCAAGGGTAAATACCGGGTTGAAGTAAAACTTAAGGAAGTAAAACTTAAATTAGGTTGGTGGAAGTGGTTTGCGTTTTGTTTTGTGTAAGTTATACGCTCTTTGGGAAAGGGGTGATCTTTTATTTTGCACAGCACCTCCCATTAGGTTGATGCCTAAATACTGTAAGAAGCTTTGAAGGTGTACATAGTTCAAATTAAATTTTTTTGCATAAATATGTAAAACCCCAATCGATATTGCAGTATGTGGTCATTAGCAGATAGAAAACAAGAAAAAAAAATCCTAAGTAAACATTATGAAGTCGAGTGTGTTATGATGATAAGAATCTACATCATTCTTTTTGTTACAGGGCATGATTTCTAGTTTATTTACTTTTTCTGCACCTGCTCCACTTTCTTCTCTAATGTGTATGAGGCAGAATTGTCTTTGAATTGTAGCTGAATTCTCCATTTTTTGGAGAATATGCCTTGCCCATTAGTATGCATATTCTTCCTTTTCCACTCTTGATTAAAAAAAAATAACAAAAAATCCCCTATCTTATTAGAACAAACCTGAAGTTTGATGTGCCAGTGGATAAAAAGTTACTAGTCTTTTCTCTGAACAAAACAATTAATTAGGTATAATTATTTCTAGAGGAAGCAGTAAGAACAGATGCTTGTTGTTGATATATTTTATATGATGTGTATTCAGTGTTACTGAAACATGAAAATCTGTTTTCTATAGTAGCAAGTATTTCACTACTGTAATCCAATCGTTCTGGTGTTTTATGAAAAACATGAGAATTCTTGTCTATGTAGGTTGTTTTCTTAAGATGCTGGGGCAGGGGAGGACACCAGCCAGCTTTTATTATATGGTTAATAGTTTCCAAGTTGTGGTTCTTGGGACTGTTGGATGTGGCGTGCAGCTGATCCGTGGAACACTGTCCTCCTCAATTGGTATTTCTGGTCAAAAGTTGAGGAAGATTGCCCAGTAGCTTGTCTGAGGGTTGGAAGTATCTCCTAATACAGCATGTGTGAAGGACATTGTTGGAGATAGTCTGAAGATATCTGTTTACCTTCTCTTTAACCAGCTGGGGATTTTCAAAAACATTAACACAACAGCAGAGTTTTGTTTGCTGAAGTATTTTATAGTAAGACAGCTGAAGTGACATCCTGCTGTCCGATTGTGTGTTCCGACTTGGAGAAAAGGTAGCGGTTAATCTGTCTCACCTAATCCCTTTCTGTAGATGCTAACTTTCTAATTTCTCCTTTCCTTGTGATGCCTGTGAGAAAAGTAACAGGGAAACTGAGATTGGCTTGCTATCCAACAAATTTCCCTGTGCCGTCACTTTGTCAACTCCTTGCCTACCTGTCGTTTTGCTGGTTTAGATTGCTCCCGGCTACGGAGTCTACTTTCCTTGTGTATTTACACAGCGCCTAGCGTAGGGGAATTTGACTCTGCACCCAGGGCTCCCGGGCGCTCGGCCAGCAGCAGTCAATGCTTTTCCCATTGTATACCAGCATCCCCACTGCACCCCAGCCCAGGCCCTCCCCTGCTCCCTCTCCAGCTCCTTGACGAGGGACCACAATCAATGGTTGCTTCCGCCGGCTACTTTGCCTGCATAGGAGTGGCACTTACAGTCGATGAGGAAAACAGGAGCCGTAAGGGATGGAGTAGGGCAGGAGCTGGGATCTATTTCTGTGCCCTCTGCAGCGATGCACTTGGTGCCACTTGCAGTACGTACACCAGAATAGCACGCCACAGCATTAGGGCAGTGGAAATATGAAACATTAGTACAACGTTGGGCAAGAAGTTGTGTGGGTTACCTACAGGTTGCACTGCTGTCCGTGACCTTTCTGTGAATGAAGCAGGTTCTGACATCTAGGCCTGTCAGTGAATGAGTTCTCAAGCACCTGAGATGTACTTAACCCCCCTGAATTATCTAACAATGCTTACTCATTATATCTGCTTTTGATTTATATATAATCTTGATTAGTCTGCAAGAGTATTGAGCTCGTCTTCTTACCTATCCATTAGATTACTGATACATATTTTTTTATCATTCAGGGAACTCCAGTATTTGTTCACGCTGGACCTTTTGCTAACATTGCGCATGGAAATTCTTCTGTTTTGGCAGATAAAATTGCCCTTAAATTAGTTGGAGAGAAAGGATTTGTAGGTAAGCAATTTATTTTTTTTTTTATTATATGATGGTTTGTTGGTAAGTTGGCAGTGTGTGATGTAAGTGAACACATAAAATAGCAATGAAAGGTAGGAAAGCTACTTCATTTTATCCTAATATCAATAATAATCTTATATGATCTTAAAGTGAATGTGTAAAAAAAAAAAACCCAAAGCACTTCTTCTCTCACCATGCCCTTTGTCTGAAGTGTTCCTGTCACCACGTTTGAGATCCCACAAGATGACTGAAGCAGTTAAATGACTGGATTGCATTGAAAGAAGTGTCCTGTAGTTCCTTGTGCTAGTATTCATCTGACCTCTCTTGATAAATGGACAGAAACCATTCTGTTTTTGAATTATTTCTCTGCCAATTCAGCAAACTCAGCCAAATCGGAGCTCGGATGTCCCTGAGCCAGTGCGGAGGAAGGGTAGCAGAAGAAGGAGTAAGACTCCCTTATTTTGGAGGCAGTGAGCCATTAGGTTGGTCCAGCTGCATTGTAAAACCTGGCCGTGAGGCCCTCACGTTCCCATCAGAGCATGTGGGTGGGCAGACTCTTTTAATATTAAGAATTCAGCCTGCACAAGCAACAATAGGCACGTAGAACTTACTGTTACAGTCGCAGGCAAAATAAACTTGTGGCTAAACAGCGAACTAGTTTTTATTAAAGTTGTTGTGTGCGTTTGAACTTCAGAATTAACGAAATGGAAGGGGTGTTGCTGTGTTGCGGTAGTAATGCTTTTGCACTGCTGCAGCCATTCTCTTCTGTGTCCTGAACACCCAGGCTGGCTTATGTTAATCCTAAAGTTGAACGTTGAGTACCTGCAGAACAATGCTCTTGTAATGGGAAACAGGAGGGTTCTTACGCTAGCGCCCTTAAACTAGGAGAGAAACACGTATGTGTATGCTTACCTATGTATTACTGTAAATTACATAAAGAGAACCAAATTACTTGTAAGTACCGTTTCTATTTAAATTCATTGGTAATCATAGAAAGGATGAGGGAGTTGTTTGCGTTGTCGTAGAATGTATATGCTTTTTGTTATGATACTAATCAACCTATATATTTACAGATTGAGAATAGAAAGATTTCTTATACCAAGTTATTGACTACTGAACAAGAAGATAGAGGGATATCTTCTTACAGAAATCTTTAAAAGTAACAAAAATTAATACCAATAAAAAATAAAGGATTGAAACGTGTTGTAGATCGTACTTTGAAAAAAAAAATAACCTAAATAAATATGTCACTTTGGTATTCTCTGAATAACAACAAAAAGGTTAAACAGGTAGAAATTTTATTTATGTGTATTCCTTTATCTTGAGGGCTTTCTTTTTAAAGAATATTTATTGATTTTCTGTTTTCTCATTTTTGCTTGTTCATCTTTAGAGAAGTAAGTTTCTGATCTACCTAAGCATTCTGTGCCTGGAAGAAATGTTCTCCATTGTTTGTTTTTTTCTTTTAAATGGAGCAGCAAAGTGCACACAATGATTTTTAGATCCTTGTTAGGGTATTATTAACAACATTAATTCCTAGAGTCAGTTTTGCTAACCTCTGCCTTTCTGGTTCAATGTAATTTGCAAAGATTGTTGGACGTTTGCATGTAGTAGTTCATTAGCAAGAGCATTCTTGGGAAAAGTTTGATTCAGTATTCTGCTCTCACTTCTCGTGTTTAGGTAGGAGTAACCACGGAAATGCTGACCTGTGTAAGAAAGCAAAGCGTTGCAGTTAAGGTGTTGAAACATGAGGTTTTCAAGGCAGTCTGGGCATGTGTTGTGTGTGGTTCCTTTTTAAAATTCATGATCAGGTCAAGGAAGAGGGTTGTTTTCTCCAGTGTTACTGTTGTACAGCTAAAGTGTCTGTTCATTTCCCTCTAATAATCAAACATCCTTTCAAAGGAAGAACATTTTGCATTCTGAATACATTTATTTAATGATATAATAGAGCCAGTATTTCATTAAGCCATGTTTGTTGTTATATGGCTTCGTGGAATGAAGAGCAAAAGCATTGAGGGTAGCTAACATTTTTCACAGGCTAGGTGAAGTGACTTTGTTTCTGAGTGAGCAATCTTTTTATGTCATCTGAATGGAAGTATGTCAGCGGCGGTCTTGAGTCTTGATCCGGGTCTTGGAGCCCGAGAAGTATCACCTTGGATTTGGATTCCTCTCCATTCAGTGCATCCCTCAGGCACTGAGAGTACATCCTTGCATTGCATCCTTTTTTTTTGGTCTTATCCACCTGTTTGTCTTTAACACCCTTTTTTGCTTTGTTCGTCTTTGGCCCCAGTTTCTCTGTTGGGAGACAAAGCGGTGTAGCTGCAATAGAGGAAAACCTTTGTGTGTTGCCAGCTGAAGGCTCTCGTTCAGATTTTGTTCTACAGAACACAAATCCCCATGAAACTGGCTTCAAAGTAAGACTGCCTTTGTTCTGCTGAGCAAAGCATGATTTTTTAAGGGCAACAGTTCCTAGAGTGGCCTACTTAAGTAAACTTTGCATGTAGTCACAAGTGTAAATGGTTGTTCTAATGGCTGTAATTACCATAAGCTTTATGGTTTTAAAAAATACATTGTTTCTGGTACCTAGTCAGGGCATATGGGCAGAGACTACATGTAGCACTTGCTGGTTTATTAAATACTGTCCTATCCTACCCGACACAACTGAAGTCTGAAATGACAGCGACAAAGTGTGCGCCAGCCCTCCTTGAGGTGACGTCTGTACAGGGGAGAGCCCAGCACCTTGTGGAGCTGCACAGCAAAGCAGTCGGCAAGAAACTCCACCGCGTTCTGCTCGGCGTGGCGTGTGCCAGGACCCTGTGTGGCTGTGGGAAAGCTCATCCTGTAGTCAGTTCAGATGGTAGGGATGCCGGA